ACTCGATGATCTTTAAGGTCCCTTCCATCTATAAGTGTCTTTAATCTGAATGTTTTGTGTTAGATCAGACAGTAGACATTGCTTGCTCTGCAAATAATTTTACATTTTGAAAGCTGGTATTTTTAAGAGAGAAATAGTTGTCATACCACAGTGTGTTCATGCTTTGTGAATAGAGTAGCATTGGTTTTCCAGAGCCTGTGGCAAGGAAGATGGTATGAGAGCCTCTATAAACAGTATCCAAAAGGTCTGTTGCAGGAACTTGCAAGTTATGAAGTAAAATCCTCAGATTAGAAAAATAATGCCAGAATTAGACTGTCCAAGTGTGAGTGTGCTACAAAGCAACTTGTAGCTATATGCTGTTTATTCTTCCTGTCTCAAAGGCTTGTGTTCCAGTATTGATTGGATGTTTATTAGTTTTGCACAAGAGCCACAGATGTTTTGTGAATCAGGCTGCATTCAATGCATCTCATTCTGCGTGACACTGAATGCAAAGTTGTCCACTTGGTTATTTTTAAGACACTTTTACTGAATGGAGAATTTCAAAACAGTTCATAATCCTTTAAATAATTTTGCAAGCTGTTGATAGTCCTGCTGCCGACTTCTACAGCTGAGAAAGTAAGATACAGAGAATCTTATGCTGAAGTCTACTCTCCTGTCTGATTTTACGTACTTAATTGAAGAGCCTGGCTATGCTACATGCCTATTATAGACAGTGATGATCCAAACTTTAGGTGGGAAGAACTGTTCCCTTGGATTGTTTGTCTCTTTTGACTCTTCAGGGAGCTTGAGGCTGTGGTTTCACAAATGAATTAAGCTAGTATATATGGTTTGTAGTATAACGACTCATTGCTTAAATAGCTATACCTGCTCCCATCCCTTCACAGGAGCTTGGGATCTTTTTGGTGGCATAGATATAGGTAGGCTGGCGCTCCTCGCGAAATCTCACCCTGTGACTGAGTAGGCTCTTAACACAGGGGCCTTAGTACCAACTGGGTCTGGGCATGGTTGTCGAGGGCCCACCGTGATGTTAGTTTTTGCAGAATGTAGCAGTTTAATATCCTGTAACGTTCATGTAATTCCAGTAGGTATTGATTGCAATTAAGGAACATTTGATTCTTCGGCGAACTTGATGCAGTGTCTCCCCTACAAAGCTCTCAAAATGGGAAAATCCAACTTGCAGCTCTGAGTACATTGATGTAGGCAGTCTGCCCACAAAACCTCTCCTTATGCTTTGAAACAAAAGCCATTTTTTCCTACTAAAAGTGTACTAGAAATTAATATTGTTTTTAAAACAACTTTATTCTTTCTGTACACACTTTTTTGACACAGATAACTGTACTTGGAGCTGCTGAATAAAAATTCAGATGAAATTTCTCCATTTTGGATTTTTATCCCCAATTTTAGTTTGTTTGTGGAGAGCTCAAGAATATATTTTTGAAGATTTGTCTGTTTTTTCAGGGTGTTTGGGGCATAAATCTGAAATCTAATTTCCAAAGTAACAATTACTGAGATTCAAAAAACTTTGAAGATGTTTGTTTCTGGTTGATAAAAAACAAAGGCATTCCGTGCTAAAGAGGGTAGCCCTTGACAGGAGCAAATCTATACTTCTAGAATTTTTGCATTGTTTGTGTCTTTTGGGTAGCTTTAAATAATGATGTCTTTTTCTCACCAGGTGGTGTCAGCAGTGGATCAGAAGTTGCTTTACAGCTGACACAAAAAAATGCTTCATACTTGGATGTTTTTGAATAAATTTTTTAAAAATCCAAACTTTCTAATGGAGAGAGAAGGCGTATGTGAAAATACAAATATACAAAATCATACCAGATAAAAATCAGAGTAGTACACAGATAGGTCACTGCCTTTGCTATCAGTGCATTAGTTTAATGGTAATGTACTTGATAGCAAGTTATGAATATAAAGTAAGTGAACTGCTTTCAGAATGCTTTGTGTGTTTTGAAATTAATACTTGCGTTAGCAATAAAAAGTCTATGAAGTATTAAATGCATACTTAGACCTGCCAAGGGATGTCACTGCAGATGATCAAATGTTGGATGAGTGTTTCAGCTCAAAACCACTAAAGTTTTGAGACTTATTTTTTACTTTATTTTTCTGCTGATGTATCTGTTCATATGACATTATGTTGGCCCGTGTATTTGACATTATTTTTCTGTTCTAGGTTATCTTCTGGGGAGTGAGGACTATTATTCTCATGACCGTTGTGTCCTCATCAAAGCCAAGAATGTAACACGCTGTGCTCTGGACTTTCGAGATGGAGAAGAAGTTGCAACGGGGTTTAAAAACATGTACTCTACTAATTTATTCACAGAAAGAGCTATAGATCTTATAGCCAATCACAAAACTGAGAAGGTACAGTCGGCAGCTGTTTTGATAACTTTAGCACTAAATAATGTTTTTTAGAAAGTTAATGAAATATTAATGGAGAGACCTGCACTCGAGCTGTAATTTGGGGCTTTTCAGCAAGGTGCATAGAGCTAGATGTGAGAAGTAGCACTGGTAAAACTTGCCTTGTCCCCTGTCAGAATCAGCCTGCGACCCCGCTCCATTTCTTTTTTAATAATGCAAGTAATGAATTTATAGAAATGATTTAGCATGTAGTTTGCAGGGAATGGGAAGTTTAATGGGAGAAGTTTCATAGAAAGAAACTGTTAACAATTGTGTTATGACACGGCTTTGCAAAAGTCCTTTATGAAAGTTTTATTAGTTTATGCTTAGGGATTAGAAGAGAACGAATCAAAACACAGTGCCTGCAGCTGTTGATGTATCAGGGCTGCTTTTGCTGCAGTAACTTTTGCATTTAATATTTTATGTTCAACTAATTTTCACTCTATCCCTTCCACCCCAGCCCCTCTTTCTCTACCTCGCTTTTCAGTCTGTCCATGAACCTCTCGAGGTCCCTGAAGAATACATTAAACCATATTCCTCCATTAAAGATGTGAAGAGGCGCCATTATGCAGGGATGGTGACTCTTATGGATGAAGCTGTAGGAAATCTTACTGATGCTCTGAAAAGATACGGTCTTTGGGACAACACGGTTCTTGTTTTCTCTACTGGTGAGTTAATTTAAATATTCTTTCAGTAATAACTTTGATATAGTGTCTAAGAAGCTGACTGCAGAGACATCTGGCCCTTCTGTCCTTCCTCCATGTATTTTCTAACTACAGAAGAGTGACGAAAGTGAAACAGGACTTTATACCAGAAGGAGCAGTTTCCCTCTCCACTCTTACAGGTTTCTCAAGCATTGTAAAGATAACTCTGAAGAAGTGCCTGTGCAAACAAGGAATACTCCTCTTGAGTAAAAACAGCATGGTAAAAGCTGAGGAGTGCAGTGAAGTTGGAGGCATCTTACTTGCCCTTGCAGTTACTGATTATCTGTCAGAATTGAATCCTTACTGAGAAAGATCTGCCAAATTAACTTGTCCTCAGCTATAGGTAGCTGTCTGATCAGTTCGCAAATTGCCATGTGTTGCATGGAGCACGAAAGCCAGAGAGCAGTTTGAAGCCAAAACTCTATTTCCCTTACGTTCATGTAACATGTAATTTTGTCTTGCTTGAAATAATTTCACTGGCACCTTACTCCCATGAAGCAAAGCTCTGTTAATAAAAAAACTTGATAAGTTATGATACGGTCTAGGCTGACAAATTACAGGCTAAGATTTTGTACGTACTAGCACAAGATCTGGTTTCTAGATTATTAGGGTAATGCAAATAATACATTACAAAGAAGCTCCTTTGTTTCCAAATTAGGAATGGAACAGAACCTTTTTGAAATACAGCTGCTTGGCTGGGTTTCAGGAACATACTTCATGTTTGGTTGGGAGTGGGAAGTAGCCTTTCAATGCTTACAGTTGCTCTTTTGCCCAGGCTTTACATCTTAGGGCTGTCAAAATGGCAGATTAATTTTCTATGAATGCTTTAAAAAAAGACAAAACAACAAAACCAACAACAACCCCCCCAAACCCCAAGTTTTGATAAAAATGCAGTGAAGTGTTTTGAGTTTAACAGCTGCTTCCTATAGCACTTGGAATCTTGGAATTTTATTTTGAGTCCAAACCTGTTTGCCTTGTGGTTACATTTGTGTCCAGGGTTTGGCTGTAACAGGATTTGATAGCTCTTGTATGCCTGTTTCTGTTTACGATGTTTTCATATTTAGAACTGAAAGTAAGCAAAGCCATATGGAAAATTATACCAATATTTATTCCATATGGAAAAAATCCAGTCTTTGCTGATGGGGTCCTGGTAGAGTTATTTCAGTAATATTTGTTCAGTATGTTGTGGAATAAAACTAAAGTCATCTGAGTTGGAATTACAGGGTATGACTACATTAAAAAGACAAATTTTGGTTTTTTCTTTATAAAACATCTTTTTCCAAAAAATGAGAGTATGACCTGCTTTTAACAGTAGTTATCTTGCTATCAGTTACAGGTATGTTTCAACAAGAGTCAAACAGTCAGGAGAATCCAGTGTGTGTCCTGTCTAATGGGACTTATCTTGAGTTAACTGACATTTTGAACTGCCAGGAGTGGAATTTAATATGATTGAAATACAGGGAAATTGGGCCTAGATCAAGCAGGTCAGAGGGCAGTGATTTGTTTTTTTTTAGTGTTCTCTCTTCACTTCAAACAACTGTTCTTTACAGGCATAAAACATTGCATGCATTAAAGACCCAGTTTCCAAAAAACAAATGTCAAAACTGTTAAGCATTAAAAAAAAGGAGAAAAAAAAAAAGGAAGCATGAAATCTCTCCAGCTTTTCTATATTATATTTATTGCTATTGCAGATGGTGTGTTTTAAAATTGGCCCTGGAAAGTGGTTGAAAAGAAACACGAGAGGGTCTGCAATTGTTGAGAGAGTTGTGCTATGTGACATCTCTCTGCACAGCTTCCAAGTCCTTTGTGACTGGGAGTCTTGGTGTGCACTGGTAGCTATAATACGGGTATATGTGTATAAAATATTACCTTCAGCTCTTGAGGGCATGCCTGCTCAAGGAAGCTGTGCCCCCTCTCACTGCCCCAAGTACTCTCCTGGGACTGGAAGACCCTTTTCTTGCTTGGTAGAGCAAGAGAGACGCATTTTCTTTTATGGTCAGAAATTCTCTTCCATAAAGTTCTTCCCATGCTGTGGGGTTAAGAATGAATTTAAGGATTTAAATGAAGATTGCAAGGGAGAATTAGGGAAGGATAAAGTGTATCCATAATTTTAACGAGTAGTATCTACGTTGTTTCCTCAGCACAGTAGTTAACAGACTGCTTTTATGATCCTGTGTCTTTTTCTTATAAACCTGTGTGGTTTGATAACTGTAGTGTTGGAAACCTGTAGAGGAAAAAGAAGTGCAGACCCTTCTTTATGGTATATTTTTCTAGGTTCATTACTATTCTCTGTGTAGTTGTGGCCAAAATTGAGACTTGGATGAGTGCATCTCTCACTGCTTCAAAATTCTACCCCTCCCCCCAAATAATTTACAAGTGAGCATTTGCTATTGTGTGCTGTACCACGTAGCATTGCAACAAGCATACAGTCTTCCGGTTGATTCCTTCACTGTGAACTCTCGACCCCAACATTAGAGATCTCTTTTTAGTGAGTGCTCATTGAAATACTCTAGAACATGACATAATCTTTGCCCTCATAGTAGATTTATTTTTATTAAACTCTTTCCTGTTTCTTCCTATTTGTGTATGTTATGGCTCAACCACGATTGCCTTCAAAACATGCCAGTTGGCAAATGGAAATACTGCACATTTTAAAAGGGCCTTATAAAATATGTAGAACTCCAGTTCTTCTTTAAAGTGGCCTGATGGAGACACCGGGCCAAAAATGAAGTAATCTGGTCATTAGCAATGCCTGATGCCATCAGTATATTGTGTAAATCAACATCTCTGGTGTCTTGTTGAACAGATACACAAGCTATTTCTGCACATAAATAAGAAAAAGGAAAAGAAGAGCTAGTTCAATGGTATGTAGTGTTATATTTGTGTATCAAGTGGTAGCTTGAAAAGTCTTGACTGGTGCGATATGAAAAAATTTGCTTTTATGAAGCAACTTTCATACTGCAGATACAAGTTAGTCTGCGCTAATGACATCAGTGGTGAAAATTAAGTCATTGCCTTCTCAAGCAGCAATGTCGTGGGTACCCATGGCCTTTTATCCACCTGAAATAAAAAATAATGGGTTTGTTTAATTTATTTAGGAAGCATAAGAGACTGTAACTACCAATTTTCCTGAAGAGGACCTTGATTTAAAATAAATAAAGGACATAAAAAACTTTCAAGTGGTTCACATTTATCCCAGCACTACTAACACTGGCTTAGAGTCCAAGTTTTACTTCAAATATAGACCTATGATTTGAGGTAAGAAGTGGGGATTTGCTGTGAATAGTATATGATTATAGTTTCTCCAACATATTACAAGTAATTTTGGTGGAAACTTGCCAACATTAGAGGAAAATAATCTGACCCCTAATTTCAGTTCTGTATTAAAGCTGCTGTGCTCTGGATTAGTGCTGTAGTGTCTGGTACTTGCCATAAGAGGGCTTTGAAGAGTAAAATATGTGAACTTTTCTCTTCAAGCCTTGGTTTACATTGCTAAGAGGAAACCGCATAAATCCTTTCCATAATGGAACATGTGACACTGATGACTGTTTTCACTCCAAAAGAGGTCTTTTTATCATTTTAGAATTACGATTAATAAGAGCACAGATTGTTCCAGACATATTAACTGGTGTTTATACGGTCTCTCACACCCCAAGAGGTTTTTTCCCCCAAAATTTCATATTATCCTCATAAATATTTTCCTTAGTCTATCTCTCTCTTTTTTTTTCCTTCTATTTTTTAAAATTGCAGCCAGTATATTGTGGCTTTTGTCTAACAAAATGTTGGGATTTTTTTTTTTTTTTTGCTTATTTCCAGCTCCTACTTTGATAGAAACCAGGGATCTGACTTTCACTGGTTCCCTGAGGCCAGTTTTTAATCTTCTCCCTGATGTCTTTGTTCCTGAATGAACTCCTGCTCATTCTCTTTTGCTGGTAAGGGACTTCAGGGAGACTTTTAATTTTAGATTGTCCAAGCCAACTGAAGGACAGATTGGTTAGAGCAGTTGTTCTCTGACTGTGGTGTTAGAGGTGCTGATTTTGAAGGCTGGGTTGTCAGACTTTTTTTTAGTAAACCTGCCCAATTGCAGATCTGAAGACTGGATGTAATTGGTCTTGTCAGGAGGTTCCGAGAGGTTCGGTGCATTGCCAGTGAGGAAGATGCCTGGGTGTCTACTGCCTGAGCATCTGCTGCCTCCTAAGTGGAAACAAGCATAGAGGACTTACCTGCCAGCACCTTCAGTCAGGCTAGTTATCCAAGTCCATATATTCCCAGATATTACTTTTCTATTTCTTGATTACTAAAGCTTGTTATTATAAAAGTTGTGGCTGATCACTGTGCTTGCATTGGCCAGAGTTGTTGCATTTCAGTGCTAAATTGTGAAAGGTGCATGTGGTTGGTGTTTTGTACTCCAGTGTTAGCTTTTATTATTTTTTGGGGCTTTTTCCACATTAAAGTATGGGTGGTAAGAATAAATTTTTCAGAAATAAAAGAATAGTTTCTCTGCTATATGATGCAGATAATAGTAATGAGACATCTCAACTGCATTGTAAGAATGTATTATTAAAGGCAGAAATGTTGTCTTATGATGAAAGTTAGTTTCAAAATGAAAACTGAGATGATGTTGATAGTCAATGTATTGATTTCCCCACCCCCCCTCCTGTTTTAAAATACTGTGAAAACCCAAAATGTTTTGTAGGAAACATTTCTCTTCCCTCCCTTCTAGCTTTAATCCCTCCCCATCTACCCTACTTTTTCCATGCCAAACCTAGCACTCCAAACCCAAGTTCCTGAACAGAGGGTGACCTTGTGCCAGAGTCATTTGCTTCTTTTTTGATTTGTGTTTAAAAATTCCAATATAAGTTGAATCTTAATTTTTTGCTTACGGTTTTGAGCAAATGCCAGTGCTTAAAGTGAAGTTCACTTGTAAGATGAATTTAAACTATGATTACTACTAAACTGTACTA